AGCGGCATTTGTGTGGATGAAAATACCTTGTTGATGTCAGAGGTCAGAGAAGAATGGGCAGACTGGTTTGAGATGATAGAAAAGCAACAGTAACTCAAATAACCACTTGTTATGTTTCCAACAACTTGTTGAATCTATGCCACAAAGAATTGGAGTCACTGCCCTGGAACAAGCAAGTGATGATCAGGTACCATGACACTAGATATTAGGGCTGCAACTAATGATTATTTTCATAAGCGAATATTTCTTCGATTAATCAGATATGAAAAAGTATTTAAATTTGTTATTAATTATTACATATTATTAACTAGTTAATACATAATTATTACTTATTTAGTTATTAATTATTATTCGTTATGTATCTAATTAATAAATATTATTAATTATTATTTAATGGACATATCATATTCATTTATAGCTCTCATCCCTGCGGACATTACCAAGCGGACTTCTCTCCTGGACTCCTCTCACCAGACACCTTTTCTGGTTTTCCGATTGGCTGCACACTTGAATCCACATCCTGATGTGCGGATTCATAGGTGTGAGCCGATTGGCTATAGATGAAATTTTTCGGCTTGCCACGTTCAGCTCTTGCCTAGCTAAGTACGGGAGAGGATATTGCTAGCTATCAAGATGATAGTAACACATTGTAAACACACAGTACATGTACAACACATAGTAAACCCATACAACACATAATACACACATAGTACACATACAACATATCATACACACACAGCACACGTAGGCGGCTGAGGCATGGGGACAGACAGGATGACCCATCCCCTCAGCCCAGGGGAGGAGGCAGCTGCGGGCAGTGCCCAAACAGTTATTCAATGTTCAGAAGCATGCGAGCGAGTGAAGGTGCAAGCAACCCAACTAATCGAGGGACCAACTAATCGATAATTAAAATTGTTGATCTACACATGCTTGTTTAATTTTCAGTGACTTACTAGGAAATAAAGAAAGGCCAAAGAATGACAACCCTGGTGCATCCACCTTCAGAAAACAAGTCGGCAATAACCACTCACATATTTATTTCCTGACAGATTGCTTTAAGGGTTTCATATGTGTTTACTGCTCTATGTGTTAGCAAACACTTATGATTCAGACAATCAAGCTATGCATGGAGCACAAGCAATCATTAAAGTATCCATCAGTTGTCCATATTTGGTTTTTAATTATTGTTTTGTTTTTCTTTAGTGTAAGATTAAAGTTGCTCAATGGTTTAAAGTTCTGATATGTAAAAGTAATATAAATATGCTTGTATATTATCGGGCTAAAGCTTACTTAGGTTTTTAGATTGCTTGCTAATGAGCTGATATCATTGTGAGTATACAGTATTTATAGCTCTAGCCACAAGATGATTAACTGTTCTGGGATTCAGTAGTACAGTTTTATGAAGTCAGCTTTGGACATGATGGAGAGTGAAGTGTTTCAGTGTGGAAAATAGGAAGGCTTAGTGAAATAAAAGATGGCACTGCATATGCAGATTTTACATTTCATCTTTGTTGGAAAATTATAGAAAATAATTTTTGAAAGATTATTAAACCTTACATGGAACACATATTTTATTGAGTTGTCATAGGTGTTTAAACTAGCTCCCCTGGATCATAGTACATTGCTAGACATATGAGGAAAATATATTACTTCTGCTACAAATTGTAATACCTGCAGTTTAAAATGCATGTATTGGTTTTCTTTCAACATTGCATAACAAAAAGTTTAAATTTCAAGTAAATGTAAGTAGGGCTGCAACAACTAATTGACTAAATCGATTATAATCGATAATTAAAAAAGTTGTCAACTTTTTCAATCATCGATTAATCGCCTTCCGATTAGTTGGCCCTGTTCACATCTCAACACGCTGCGCGCCGCACCTCCTCCCCACCTCACGCTTGCCCGCATCCATGCTCCACACGCCGCACCTCCTCCCCGCCTGTCCACATCCACGATCGGCACAGGGACATGGGTAGAAGAAGTAAGGAGGAGCAGGTGTGGGGGGATGACAGCCGCCGATACACAGGCCTGATCTCAGAAGCAAGTTGCTGGAAGACTGCTTAGGTAAGCCTGCACTTTCCCACACATGGCACAAATCCCAGCAATACATTATACACTGTATGTATAATGTATTGCTGGGATTTGTTGTATTCCTATATAGCTGGTGGTATTCTGCATTGCGCTGTATAGAGGACTACAAATCTCAGCAATAATACATTATACAGTGGTGCAATGCGGAATACCAGTAGCTATAGAGGACTACAAAACCCAGCAATCGTACATTATACAGCGCAATGCAAAATACCACCAGCTATAATGTATTATTGCTAGGATTTGTTGCATTCCTCTATAGACTATGCCATTCTGCATTCATTGCTGTATAATGTTACACTTTCCATTTCACTATATTGCACACCACACTTTTTTTTTTCTTTTTTACTTCCACCGCTCCAAGCTTGCTCCTGTGATGGACTACAATCTCAATACAAACTAGTAGTACCATCACTGGAGCCATTTTTTA